TTGTAGACTAGGGTCATCGGGCTGCTACAAGTGCGGTAAAACTGGGAACTTGGGCAAGGATTATACTGCTCCTATACCTACCTTTCATACATCATACCTGATTTGCTTTCATTGCAATCAGAAGTGCCATAAAAATGCCAACTTCCCGAGATTGACAGCAGCAGCGCCAGTGGCGACGCCAGCTCCAGCGACCCTGCGGATCACAGATGGCCGACAGGGCAAGACGGATGCTCCAGTGGTTAGGAGCCGAGCCTTCCAGTTGACCGCCGTGGAGGCGCGTGCCGCACCTGATGTGGTGACGGATATGTTTTCTTCTCCCTAACTCTTATTACATGTCGGTTATGATATTTATGTACTGTGTTTATGTGTTATACTTAGGATCATTCCATGTGAACGGCATCCCAATTCAGGTGTTATTCGACTCGGGGGCTACCTGATCGTTTGTCTCCCTTGCGCTTAGCAAGAGGTTTTCTGAGTCTTCACACATTTTAGACTATCCTTTATAGGTTGAGATTGCTGACGACCGATCTGTCCAAGCATCAAAGGTTTTCAGAGACTGCGTGTTGAGGTTATATGACGAGCGTTACCTCGTAGATTTAGTTCCCATTCCGTTACGTGGGAACAAGGTTATCATAGGCATGGACTGGTTGAGACCTAATGGGGCGGTGATCGAGTGTGCGCAGCAGCTGGTGCGTATCACGACCCCAAGTGGGGGAGAGCTGGTGATTCAGGGCGAGAGGCCGCAACGAGGACCAACTTTGTGCTCAACAGCGAGGGCTAGGCTCTACCTTCAGCAGGATTACGCAGGGTACGTCGCCTACGTTTTGGATACCTGGGGAAGCGGGTAAGGCGACCATGAGCGATGTGCCAGTGGTGCGAGAGTACCCGGACGTATTTCCAGAGGAGCTGCCTGGGATACCTCCGGAGAGGCAGGTGGAGCACCCGATCGACCTAGTCCCTGGTGCGGCTCCGATAGCCAAGGCACCATATCGGTTGGCTCCTCCTAAGATGCAGGAGTTGTCTACACAGCTGCAGGAGCTGTTAGACAAGGGGTTTATCAGGCCGAGCAGTTCTCCTTGGGGAGCCCCGATCCTGTTTATGAAGAAAAAGGACGGGTCGCATCAGATGTGTATAGATTACCGGGAGTTGAACAAGGTAACGGTGAAGAACCGTTACCCACTCCTGAGGATTGATGATCTCTTTGACCAACTACAGGGGGCATCTTGGTTTTCCAAGATAGATTTGCGTTCGGGCTACCATCAGATGCGAATCAGAGACGAGGATGTACATAAGACTGCTTTTCGGACTCGCTATGGCCACTACGAGTTCGTGGTGATGCCCTTCGGGCTCACCAATGCTCCTGCCGCATTCATGGACCTCATGAACCGTGTATGCAGGCTGATGCTGGATCGGTCTGTGATAGTCTTTATTGATGATATCTTGGTTTACTCCAAGACGTAAGAGGAGCATGAGGAGCACTTGCGAGAGGTGTTGGATACCCTGAGGAGGGAGAGCTTGTACGCCAAGTTCTCCAAGTGCGAGTTTTGGTTGCGTGAGGTGCAGTTTCTGGGGCACCTTGTCAACCATAACGGGATTTTGGTTGACTCGGTCAAGGTGGAGGCCGTGATGGGGATGGGAGGTTCCAAAGTCTCCATCTGAGATTCAGATTTTCCTAGGGTTAGCAGGCTATTACCGGAGGTTCATTCAGGACTTCTCCAAGATAGCAGTACCCTTGAACCGGCTGACGAAGAAGGTCGTCGTATTTCGCTGGGGGCCTGAGCACCAGGCAGCGTTTGAGATTTTGAGGCAGAGGTTGTGCGAGGCACCGATCTTAACCCTACCCGAGGGCGTGGAGGGTTTAGTAGTATACTGCGATGCGTCCATTTCGGATTTGGGTACGGTACTGATGCAGAGAGGGCACGTCATCGCTTACGCCTCGAGGCAGCTGAAGCCTCACGAGGCGAACTACCCGACGCACGATCTGGAGTTGGGGGCGGTTGTTTTCGCCCTCAAGATTTGGCGACATTACCTTTATGGGGTCCGCTGTACCATTTACACGGATCACAAGACTTTAAGGTACCTCATGGATCAGCCGAATCTGAACATGCGGTAGCGTCGGTGGCTAGATGTAGTGAAGGATTACGACTGTGAGATCCTCAACCACCCGGGGAAGGCCAATGTTGTGGCCTATACTCTTAGCCGCAAGGCAGCCCCGATCCGAGATATTTGCTTGCAGATGACAATAGTGACTTCGCTTCTGGAGCAGATCTGAGAGGCCCAACAGGAGGCTATTAAGGAGGAACATCGGAAGAGTGAGCGTAATGTGGCCTAAAAAAAATTTTAAACGAAAAAAAAAGATGTGGTTTTATCGAAAAAAAAAACGAATATACCGTTGTTCATGATTTTTTTGTCCTCTTTCTATAGAGATTCATGTTTATATATAAAAAACGAAATTTTTTTTTTCGAAAAAACTCACTTCATTTTCTTTGTTGAAAAGTTAAAGTCTATTTTTTATAGAAAAAAAATAATAAATATATCAAATAAAAAAAACGATATTTCAGTTTAGATTCACATTGTGAACCTGTTCAGATTCACATTGTGAACCTGCTCAGATTCACAGTGTGAATAATAGAGTACAAAAATTAATATTTTTGGTATAATTAGTTTTTTTTTAAAATAAATTTAAATATTGAAAAAACTAACAAAATGAAGTGGGGTTTTTTCGAAAAAAAAATCGTTTTTTTATATATCAACATGGATCTCTATGGAAAGAGGACGAAAAATCGTAAACAATTGTATATTTGGTTTTTTTATCGATAAAAATGTGGCCTAAAAAAAATTTTAAACGAAAAAAAAGATGTGGTTTTATCGAAAAAAAAACCGAATATACCGTTGTTCATATTTTTTTGTCCTCTTTCTATAGAGATGCATGTTTATATATAAAAAACAATTTTTTTTTTCGAAAAAACCGACTTCATTTTCTTTGTTGAAAAGTTAAAGTCTATTTTTTATAGAAAAAAAAATTAATAAATATATCAAATAAAAAAAACGATATTTCAGTTTAGATTCACATTGTGAACCTGTTCAGATTCACATTGTGAACCTGCTCAGATTCACAGTGTGAATAATAGAGTACAAAAATTATTATTTTTGGTATAATTAGTTTTTTTTTAAATAAATTTAAATATTGAAAAAACTAATAAAATGAAGTGAGTTTTTTTCGAAAAAAAATCGTTTTTTATATATCAACATGGATTTCTATGGAAAGATGACGAAAAATCGTAAAGAACGGTATATTTGGTTTTTTTATCGATAAAAAATGTGGCCTAAAAAAAATTTTAAACGAAAAAAAAAGATGTGGTTTTTTGGTAAGGAGGTGGATTTTTTGGTATAATCCGGTGTATGTACGTCAAATGTACAAGTGTACATCTATTTCCTTGGCCGTTGATCATTATGATTTCCGACGCTCACGATTGGTTTATTGGTTCCTTGTTAATTATGGTTCTCTATTTAACATCATATATATATATATATATATATATATATATATCTATTATATAATATATATATATATATATATATATATATATATATATATATCTATATATATATATATATATATATATTATATATATATATACAAACTAGAGTAACCTTTCTATTTTGACATAATGGATCCAAAATTTTTTGTAATTAAGATTATAGATATTAAAAAAGTTGACCATTATAATAAAAAAAATTAATAAATTGATTTTTTTGTGTTTTGGAAAAATAATCATTTTTCTAGAATTAGTCATTCCATGCTGATAAAAAAAATATAACGTGTTTAATCTCTTTTTACACAATTTTTTTCCAAAATTATTTCTCTGGCTAATTTTTTAGGAATGTCAAAGCACTGTTTTTCAATCAAATATTTTTATTTTAAGTTTTTGTATATATCATATTTACTTTTATTTATTATGTTTATTTAAAATTTAGATAACTTTTAGTAAAAACCAAGAATTTTCTCAATTTTCAGGACTATTTCTTTTTTGTCAAAAGCATACTTTCAAAAAATAAATGTGCTATAACTACAAATCAAAAATAATTAATTTCACTGTGTCGAATCGAGCACCCCTAATTATTATATATATATTAAAGTTGTAGAAGAAAGGAACAGTGAAGTTGGCATACTTTGTCCAGGTTTGGTCCTTGATTTACATATCCGGTCCCTGTACTTCTTTAATTAATTTATTCATGTCCTTTTGTTTGTGTTCCATTCAACTTCCCATTTTTTTGACAGAATTGGTCCCTGTATTATTGTTGGAAGTTAGGAATACTAAATTTGAATGTTTTTTGGCAACTTTGTTCATTATTCTTTACCCATTTTGACATTTTTGGTCCTTGCAATCAATATTTTTACACTTTTTTCGAACCTTTTAATATTTAAAGTTTGGGCACAAAACTTTAACGGTTTGACAACTTTGATCCCTTTTCTAAAAAGTTGCTAATTCCTACCCCTTTAATTCTTTAGCCATTTTCACACTTCTGGTCCTTGCAGTCAAAACTTTTACATTTTTTGTCCGGGGCAAAGCCCGGACTTTTCATCCTTGCACTTTCTATGTCTGTCATATTTATCAATTCGGAAACAACATTGAAAGCTTCTGGCCCCCGCGTAGCGGGGTAACCTTTCTAGTTATTTATTGAAAAATAAAACATGTTTTATATTATCTTTTTAGATTAGATTTGATTAAAAGTGAAATTACTGAAGAAAGGCGATGGAAAGGAAACAGAGAGCCGCATCCGAAACAGTAACCACCGTAATAAAAGCTGAAATATAGAAAATTAAAACAAGATCCACCTCGAACACCCATCCCCTTTCTTCTCTCTCTCCAAAACTCGAATCTTTCTAGATTGAGAGGGTCTGATCCAACATCAGCGACAACTACTGATTTCCATGTAAATTCCCTGAATTGGGTTTTTGATTTGAGACAGAATTTGCCAAGTATACCCTAGTAGAAATGAGGGAAGATGAGTCCAATTGGTTTTCAAAGTGGGAAGAACAACTGCCGTCGCCGGAAGACCTTATGCCCTTAACTCAAACCCTAATCACTCCTGATCTAGCAATCGCCTTTGATATCCGGAGCCCACATAACCTCCACTCACCTTCACTTCAACACCACCAACAACCACCACCGATTTCAACCCCTTCTTCTCAACCCAATTCCGGGGAATTTGATTCCCCTGAACTGGGCGGAGGTGGAGCCGGTGATGAACCAGCTCGCACCCTCAAACGCCCACGTCTCGTCTGGACTCCGCAGCTTCACAAGAGATTTGTCGATGCTGTAGCTCACTTAGGGATCAAAAACGCCGTACCCAAAACCATAATGCAGCTCATGAGTGTTGACGGGTTGACTCGCGAAAACGTCGCTAGTCATCTCCAAAAATACAGACTTTACCTCAAACGTATGCAGGGTCTTTCTTCCGGTAGTGGAAACGGCTCCGGTGGAGATCCTGCCACCGATCATTTATTTGCGAGTTCTCCGGTGCCAGCTCATTTCCTCCATCAGGGTCGCCCGAATTCCGACCACTACTTACCCTACGTCCCTGTCGCCGCCCTACAACAGCAGCACCACCACCAGCAGATGGCTGCTGCCGCAGTCGTCGCCGGACATCATCATCCTCAATTGCAGCCTCGGTATGGGCAAATTGGGCATTTTGGGTCGCCGCGAAATGGGCAATTTGACCATCCATTTCTTAATAGACAATCGCATTCACATTCGCATTCGCAGCAACCCATTCATAGGGTAGGGACTCCAATTCATAATTCTGTTCCATCATCTTATGTTGATGATCTTGAATCAGCAAATGGTAGAAAAGTTCTGACTTTATTTCCAACCGGAGATGATTGATTGACTTTTGGTAATTCCCTTTTCTGATCATCACCTTTTCTTTCTCCATTTCTGAAATTGGACTTAACTTTCAAGATTTTGATTCAGAAAGTTTCTTTTAGGGTACTTTTAGTAATTGGTATTGTTCATAATTGCAAACTTTTAGTTATGATTATAATCACTTTTAGATCGAGTTTAATCGGTTCTTGTTGAATTGAGTCGGGTATTTTCTTTGATGATAGGGGTGATGATGAAGTCAAAGTCAAAGTCAAAGGCAAAATGCTTGATATATTGAGCTCGAACATGAGAACTAACAGCAAAGAGGATCACTGCGAGCTTGTATTTGCAGACAGCAATGGTAAATTTGATACTGGATTGCTCGGTAAATTATGTTTTTCTATTCTGTAAGCCTTCTACTTTTTTTGTTATCAATCTAGTTTTAGCTTTGTAGAGATTAGTTCTACTTTGTTGTAAATTGTGGGTTTATCATAAACTTCAAAACTTGTTATATTGGTGGATCTTTTCAGGAGATAATAAATATTATTCTAGTTTAATAAGCTCTAAATTCCTGAAGTTATTGTTCTTGTATATAACCAGTTTATAGCTTGATGTTTAGCTTTGATGGGTATATATCTATGATTATTATATACCATAAGTGGTTCCAACTTGATCCTTGAAGAAATATTGTTTGTTTCACCTAAAAAGGTTGGACAAGGGACTTGTTTCCCATCTCTCATTTGTGAAAAGACATGCATGCCCTCCGTATCTTAGGCCTGCTAATCAGATTAGCGGTCCGGACAGATCTCAGGTCGGTCTCAAAACTGTCTGGTCTTTTTTAAGACCGGTCTTGAGAGGTCTCTTTTCGGTCTGGTCTTCTTGGGACCGGTCTAAGTCTTTTTTGGTCCGCTGTCGCGGTCTTTGCTTGCGTCTTACCGCCGTTCAATTTCACGGTTTTCTGGATTCAGATTCGATTGGTTGATTTCGATATCGGGTTTTCCCGATAACAAATATGTGATTAACACCAAATGACACGTTAAGATTTAACAAAAATGATCCGTTAAATTTTAATAAAAGAAAGAAAGGAAAAAAATCAGGTAATATGTGATTAACACAAAAATAATACTATGTATATAAATTTTGGTTTCCGGTCATTTACTTAGACCGGTGTTGGGCCGATTTCTAACTGGTTTGATTTTTTATGGGACCGGTTTAATCTTTATGAAACCAAACTTTCAATCCTGTCTTTTTTGGAATTCGTTTTTTCTTTGGTTCGGTCTTACTCTAAACCGGTTCAATCTCTGTCTCTTTCGAGACCAGTCTCTATGGTCATCACAAATAATAGTTTAACCAATTGTCACGACCTTTTTGGTATAATCTTGTGCCAATTGGGGAACGAGTAACCTTTTTTTGTCCGAAATATCTATAAATATTGAATTATTAATAGTACCAAGTATACTTGGAAGTTTAATAAATTTAGGAAATCAACATTGATAAATTTCCATATCTTCTCATGAATTAAATAAATATCACGGATGGCTAATTTTATAATCCTATAAAATATTAAGTAAAACGGTATTAAAATATGTTTTTATAATATAACAGATTATAAAAACCATTAAATACTGACTCTTTTGCATTTTAGTACCTTTTAATTTATTAATTTCATTTCAAATCAAACATTTTGACATGATAGTGATATAACATGTCAAATGGTTAACTTGGAAATTTACCAATGAAATATGATACAAGAAAAACAAGGCAATATGTTGATTTGGAAAAATGTCTACGGGGTATATGGTTCAATCGGAAGAGTTAATATCATAAAAGATAAAAGATGAATATATATATATATATATATATATATATATATATATATATCGGACGTTCTTCCGTATTAGAATTCATATTATCATTTAGTTCCCGTTTGATACTTTCTGTCCGGGAAAGTGCTGTCTGTGAAAGTGTTGTATGGGAAAATATTCTGATTGGGAAATAAATCATGTTGTTTGATTATACATCTGATTGACTGTGTTGAATGATGAAAAATGACAATATTACCCTGGTGTTCTATACTGTGATGGATGATGTTGCTGAATAATTATAAAAACATTCAAATTGTCATACAAAAATCAAAATTACACAATCATTTAAAAATTCAAATAGAATGTCGATTAAGTTGTTTTTAGTTTTTTTTTTCAAGTTGATGTTACGTTGTTATTCTTTCTAGCAATTTTTTTTATGACTCAACATGTGATTTTGACCCAGTTTATGTCCGATAGTAGTGTGATGGATGGATTTTTAAAAAATATATTAGGACGATGGTGGTGTTGTCCAAAAAAATAAGAATTAATCCAATAAAAATGAATTAAAAAAATAACTAAAAGAAATTAATAATCCAATAAAGTAATATTTATTAATATATAAATATTATATATTTATAAATAATATTTTTTAATATATGAATATTATATATTTATAAATAATATTTTTTAATACATAATAATCCAATAAAAAGAATTAATCTATTAAAAAGAAATAAAAAAAAGAATTATTAAAAAAAATTAATAACCCAATAAAATAATATTAATTAATACATAAATATTATATATTAAAAATAATATTTATTAATATATAATAATCCAATAAAAAAAATTTAAAAATTATTTTAAAAAAATTAATAATCCAAGAAAGAAAGAAGCAGAGTTTGGGGCATAATTGTATTTTCAGCCTATTATTCAGCCATAAAGATATGGTTTTGAAGCTTTCTGGGAAAGACATATCTTACCGGAAAAGACTCATTTTTTTGTGCATATCAAATAGTCTTTCCGGTCCATTCAGTCATAAAGATATGTTTGGACCTGCAAATATGTCTATCAAACGGGAACTTAGTAAAAAAGGCAAAACCCTTTTTGATATAATTCAAAGTTTATGATAACTACATGTATTAAACTTATCTTATATAAAATGTCAATAAAGATAATAAAATAGGTTATTTTATTTTGCATATCCGGTTTTAATTCATGAAAACCATGTATGACTCTCTCTTTTTTCTCTTGAAGCTTAGCGGGTAATAAAGTGAAATATTGGTGTTGATGATATTCTTTCATGTCGATGTCGAGGGGTGTTTCCGTCTTTAAAACATCTAAAATAGAAAAAGAAAAAAGAGTTATCTGATACCAAAAAAGGATCATTTTTGCATTGTTTTACCGAAAAATAGACAAAGTTGAAGAAATGGGACATGCAGCTTGCAGGTGCATTCCAGCATAATTGGTAAAGATGTGATGTGATAGATACGGGTGCTTTCCAAAAGTGATCAGAAATAAAACATGATAATAGATAAATTCGCTTTCTACGATAAGTATTAGACTAAATAATAAATTGTAATTATTTACATCAATTTAATGAGAGATTGTTTTAAGATATGTGATCAAACAATATTACGAGGTATTATGTAATATAATAAAAAAGAATGAGGAAGTAAAAAGGGTACTATGATCCTGGAGCTGGGAAAGGACAATTACGTAGACACGGACTGCTGCGAGAGGGAAAGTGTTGCGCGTGTGCTGCGCCGCGCAGCAATAAGTGGTTTGAAGAAGTTTTTATAGAAAAACAAACAGCACCTAAATCTCTATTGGTGTGTGATTGTGTGATAATAATGCATTTGTGAGATGGAATGATGGATATCGTACATCCAAACATAATACTATAATAGGTTATGTCAATTGAGCAAAAATATAAAAAGACATTTTAAATTATCAAAATTTATATTAAATTGTCAAAATCTAAATGCATTAATATGAGAATCACAGTGAGCTTGAGCTAGAATCTAGAAAAAAGATTTTAACATACAACAAATTTTGATCGTAGATGGCATAAATTTTACCAGGAAAAATTTAATCGTGGATAATATATGAAAATGCACCTCGGGGAAAGGTGTTAATGGAAAATTTAAACAGTTTTAAAAAGTTTTTGAACATTCTCAAACAACAATAAACACAATACTTTGATTTATATCACAATAAAATACAAAGTAATTCAAAATTACAATATTTCTTTCGACCAACAACTCAAAGAATACAAACAATATGTAAAATATGGCATATGTAAAAGTTTAAGGAAAAAACATGAGCTTTACAGAGAGTTTACGGCATTTTATTAGATAATTAGGTAGTATATAACTCAATTGTATATTTGTATTTATCTCTCCTTTATTCTAGGAGATTACTCTTGTAAATTCTTATTATAAATATACTCTTCACACACAATTAATTGTGTGGTTGATTTAAGTTAACTTTACATGGTATCAGCCTAATTTTTCTCTCCTCCCTCCTCAAATATGTCGCCTGCTTCCTAACGCTAGCCTCTTGACGATTTTTTTCTGCTCTTCTGGTACCTGCTATCATGCCGACTTCTGATGATGGTTCATTCTTTATGAATATTCTACTACATATGATTTCAATCAAATTGTCTTCCACCAATTATAAATTATGGAGAAACCAGATTATTCCACTCTTATTCTATCAGAAGCTTTAATCTCATATTGATGGTACCTCCATCGCTCCACCAGCAACTATCGAAGTCGATGGCAAATCAACCCCCAATCCAGCGTTTTCTGGCTGGACTAATCTTGATCAGAGGGTTGTCACTCTCCTCAATTCTCACTGAAGAGGCTGCTGCAAAAGTTCTTGGCCTTCCTAATGCTCACTCCATATGGCAGTCCTTGGAAGCAACATAAAACAATTCCTCTGTTGAACGCATTCACTCATTACGTGATTCTCTCCGCCAAATGACAAAATGTACTTCCTCTGTTTCTGATTATGGTCGCAAATTCAAGACAACATGTGATAAACTTGCTGCCTTAGGCCAACGCGTTGATGAGATGGATAAAATTCATTGGTTTCTTTATGGATTGGGAGCCTCGTTTGAGACTTTTTCCATAGCCTTTCGCACCTTCATCGCTCCACCAGCAACTATCGAAGTCGATGGCAAATCAACCCCCAATCCAGCATTTTCTGGTTGGA